CCACCCCGCCCTGCTGCTTCCCCCAGGAGCGGCCGTCAGGAGGGCACCGGCTGGGGAGTGGGACGGCTGGATGGGGGCGCCGGGGAGACAGACCCCTGAGGTCCTGCCCACTCTGAGCGCCTCCGTGGCCCGGGCCCGCGGGCAAAACAAGCCTCTCAAAGTTTCAGGATCCCTTGGGCTTCCCTGGGGCGTGGGGGGGGCTCAATGGGAGGCCATTGGCTTCCCTAACCCTTCTTTGGGCCAAAGTTAGGCTGGGTGCAGCCCACACATTGACCTGGTGGGATCGCAGCACCCTTGTCTGGGCTTGGTCTGGGCCCAGGGTGAGCAGGCTGGCTGTCAAGACCCCTGGCATGCCTCTTGGTGGTAGTGAGTGACTGAGTGAGTGACTCAGCGAGTGACTGAGTAGCCCACCTCTTGCCAGCTCTAAGGGTCCTCCTGCCCTGCCCAGCCCTTCTCCAGTCTGCACGAGCTGTAATTCGCTCTGGATAGGGGCCCAGGTGCTCCCAAACAGATGGCATTGGCATACCTTGGGTTTTCCTGTTGGCAATAGGTGATAGAATCGGATGGGACCAGCTACTGTTCCCTGGAACTCATCCCCCCCCCCCAGGGTGCCCTGGAGGCCTCCCTCCAATCACTCTCCACGCAGCAGCACCCCAGCTTGTCAGGTCCTTCAGCTGGGAGCTGAGGGGTCCCCAGACTGATGGCAGGAGACTCCTCCACCAGCCAGGTGGATGGGGGACTGTGGGGAGGGGCTTCAGGCCAGAGCCGTGGGCCTCGGCACATCTGGAGTTGGGCGAGGACCCAGTATGTCAAAATGTTTCCAGACACCAAGGATTGGAGGCGGGTCTCCAGAGGAGTGGGGACAAGGAGTGGGCTACAGCCCCTTCAGCCAAATCTTCTTCATCTGTCCTGTCTAGGCCCCCCTGGGAGAGGGAGGGTTAGCCCGGGGTGGGACTCACCGGCACGTAGTGCACCACCGTATCCACCACGTTGTCAGTGACGCCCTTCAGGGCATCCGATAGGGACATGGCCCTCCCCTTGGTGGAGGAGACAGCCCGGGCCGGCGTGAGGTGCAGCACCCTCCCTGCCGTGCCCAGCACAGCTGCAGGTGCCCATGTCACGGCCGAGATGGTGGTCTGGAGGGCCCTCTGCAGGGTATGCACCACACTGCCCAGGAGGCCTTGCGAGCCAGGCAGGGCTGCTACCTGGGGGCCAGAGCAGGGTCAGTCTCCTGCAGGGTCTCCCCCGACCCCCCCCCACCAGCCCCAGAGCTAGAAGGGAGAGCATGGGGACACCAAACTAGAAAAACTTTAGGCCTGGTTTTGCCGCTAGCTGTGTGGCCTTGGACAGGTCACCGTTCCTCTCTGAACCTCATTTTCTTCACCTGCAAAATGGGACAATAATCTCTGCTCTATTGTGGAGGGTGTTGGGAGGGTCAGCTGAGGAACAACATAAATGTACTGTGTGAGGTGGGCCTTTGGGGTAAGTGAAGATTGCACCCATGGGCCGTGTCCCTGGGTCGAGGATGGAAGCCCTTCGTTCACTCTGTGCCTCTGCTTCTCACCCTCTCTGTGGGTTGTGGGACCTGGAGGCTCCCACTCCCTCACCTCACTGAACTTGCTCTCCTGGGTCTCCAGTTCTTCCTCCTCCTCCGTCTCCTCTCCCTCTGTGTCCGTCTGGTCATGGTGATCCTCCTCCTGGGCAGCGGCAAGGTTGTGCAGCCAGGGCACCCGCACCTCGCTCTTCCGCCGGGACACCACCTGCATGGCAGCTGACGCGCCCCACTGGGCCAGGCTGCTCTGAGGGAGGATGGCAGCAGATTGCTGGTTCAACAGCACCTGCCAAAGGCCAGGGAGCCGCAGGAGCCAAAGCCCCTTGCCCCTAGGGTTTGGGTTGGGGTGGTATGCAGGGCCCGGCCTGGCAGACTGTCCTTAAAACTTTTTAGAGTGATAATTCCCATAAAATGCACACATCTTTAGGGTACAGCTCTATGAATGTTTACAAGTACACATCTGTGTAACCACCACAGATTAATATAGACCATTTCCACCATCTCAGAAGACTCTGTACCCCTACTCAGTCCATACTCCCCTAAGGGTAACCATAATTCTGATCTCTTTTGAATTTTATATAAATGGAATCATACCATGTGTGTTCATTCATGAATAGCACCTTTAGTCAAACATGATGGTATGGGATTCATCTGTGTTGCTATGTATACAGTAATTTCTTCTTTTTCATTTCTGTGTAATATTTCATTGTATGAATTTACCAATAATTTATCGATTCTACAGTTGATGGACATTTGCATTATTCCAGCTCTTGGTAAAGGACAGAGCTGATATGAACATTTTGGGCATGACTTGGGAGACATAAGTGCTCACTTCCATTGGGTACACATCTAGGAGTGGAATTGCTGGGCCACAGGGTATATGTCTGTTTAGCTTTAGTAGACACTCCTCACAGATCTTTAAAGAGTGAAAAATTCAAGTGGGCTAAAATGTTCCATGGGAGGAAATTGACTGAACAGGTGGGCTAGTGTCTCCTAAGGCACACCTTAGCTCCATTCTAGATCTCTAGGGAGTCCCACAAACAGGTCCTCCCGATTTTTTTTTTTTTTAGTAGGAGTCTTACTGTTGCCCAGGCTGGAGTATAGTGGCATGCTCACGGCCACCTCAGCCTCTACCTGCTGGGTTCAGGTGATCCTTCTACCTCAGCCTTCCAAGTAGCTGGAACTACTGGCACACACTACCATGTCTAGCTAATTTTTTGATTTATTGTAGAGACGAGGTCTTGCTAAATTGCCCAGGCTGGTCTCGAACCCCTGGACTCAAGCAATCCTTTTGCCTCTGCCTCTCAAAGTGCTGGGATTACAGGTGTGAGCCACCACACCTAGCAGGTTCTTCTGATTACATAGCTTTTGAGGTCACCATTCTCTTCTCTGTGAATGGTAGCACCTTCCTCATGCCAGGCCTGCGCACTGAGACAGGCTCGGCCCTTATAGGTAAGTGGTCCTTGGTGCAGCAGACAGAGAGAAACTACACTTCCTGTACCCCCACTAGGGCAACAGTTACTTGAATGAATGATCTGGGTCGATGATGCTTTTAAAAGGATCACTCAAATAATGGCTGAAAAGTGGTCATTTCCTTTTCTGGCCTTAGTTTCTTACTAAAGTTCCTTATGAAAAAAATACAGCCTATCTCTGCTAAAATCCCCAAGTCAGCCTATCTCTGCTAAAATCCCCAAGTCAGGGGTGAGGAGCGTGGAGAGTTAGCCCTATGTGGGTCTAGAAAAGAGCCTTTACCCTGGGTACAGTGAGGATGGAAATTAGAAGCCTCTAGAAGGAAAATGTAAAAACCTGGGTACAGTCAGGGACACATTTGGCGGGGGCGCTCTCCCTTACAAAATGGGTTTTGTGTTTTGTTTATTTAAGAATTACACTCCCTAGTGCCTGGATAGCAGATGGAGGTCTCTGCCCTCACATAGGTGGGAGGGCCCACAGCAAGAGAACCACTTGGAGGACAAAGGCTCTGGGCTGGGGGAGACTCAGGAAGAATAGTGAGATGGAAGTGGGTGGTGAACAGGTCTGCCCTCAGGACATCCTGTCCCTTCTCCCCCTCCACCCTGGAGGACTATCCCTTTACCTCTCTTAAGGTTCTTGTCCTTAGACCTAAAGCCCCAGCCCAGGCTGGAGGAGAAGCTTCCAGGACAGAAGGGAGCATTGGTAGGGGGTGGAGGGACCAAGAGGCCCACAGGCTCCCAGGCAGGAGTCAGTCAGAACTCAGGGCAGACACTCACCAGGGGTGCCACACCTGGCACCCACATGGCCATGGCGTGGCTCTGCTGCAGTGCCCAGGCTGTGGTCTGCATGGTACGTTGAGAGAGGGTGTTGGTCAGGGCTGCAACCCTGTTCATAAGGCTAGGCTTGGCCTTGGGAGGCTTCTGGTCCTGCTGGTGTCTAGGAGCAGAAGCTGGTTAAGGTTTTGGGGGGAAAGAGAAGAAAATAGATCAGAGAAGGGATGGGAAAATCTGGGTTGTCTAGGGCTAGAAAGCAGTCATCCTAGTTCCACCACAAATGCCCTGGTGGTTTGTGCAACTCACTTTTACGGTTGGAGAGAGGGGGCTGAATGACTATGGATCCATCTGAAAGTCCCGCTGGGCCTTCCCTATTCCAGAGCAGTGGCTAGATGGGCCCTGAACACCTCCCGCTGATTCCCAGGCAGCATGGGTGACCAACTCATTCCCCAGGGTGGGATGGCTAGCCCCCGTAATGGCAGGTACCTGGCTCTTCCTTGTCTGGAGGGAGGAGGAACTCCACCACCTTTTCAATGCCGCCCAAGGCCAAATCGGCCCCTCCAGAGGCCAGCCGGCCAGCTCGCGTGTTGGCGGCATATTCCACAGTGTCTTTGGCCACCCCCAAGGCGAGCTCGCAGCCGGTTAGTGCAGCCCCCAAGACCTTGTCCGAAGTGCTTGCAATGGGCACACTGATGCTGTTCCTGGCACTGCGAAGGCGGGTGGAGATAGTATCCTTCAGTTCAGAGGCGATCTAGGAGAAGGTGGTGGGGGATGTCAGGCAAGGGGGTCTTACAGGCTATAAGGGCCACCCTTGCAGGGTCTTATACCCTGAGCCCAGCTCCCAGGAAGTACTCATTTAAAGGCCCAGGGAGGCTGAGGTAAGAGGATTGCCTGAGTCCACAGGTTTGAGATCAGCCTTGGCAATTTGGCGAGACCTCATCTCTACAATAAATCAAAAATCAGCCAGGCGTGGTAGCGCATGCCTGGCATAGGGTGGGGCTCGGGAAACGTGGGATGGGTAGATGGTTGGCCAATGAGATGATGAGGTGACAGACTGAGGCTTATTCCCCAAAACCGCCTAACATGGACCCTTAGCATAATGACCCAATAAATATGTAGCCAAGTGAAGTGACTTTTTTAGATTCATGGTCCACAAAGTTTGGATGTTAAGGACATGGAAACTCACTCCTGAGATCCCAATCAGCGTGGCCCGTGATCTTAGGTGGCTGCAATTACCAAGTAGTCCCGTACAGGCAATGGAGTCCCAGATCCCAAGTGGGGTATTGTAGGCCATGGGATCCACCCCAGCTGTTTGCATTTGCCTCTTGAGTTTGTGGCTTCTGGTCCCAGAAACCCTTTCTCTGTTTGGCTCCTCCTCCCTGTGGAGGAGTTGTGCTCCCGTTGTGCTCCTCCACCAGCCTTGAAGGGGGCATGCCACAGACACAGAAAGACTCACAGTCACACCTCAAGCAGCTCCTGCCCTCTCCTCCCAGAAAGGCGGTGACAGCAGTGTGTGGGGAAGCACTGGAAAAGAGGGAGGGGCTCACCTTTTCGGGAGGGTATTGGAGGGCTGGGATCTTTTCCTCCAGGTGGTCCAGGCCTCGGCAAGCCAGCTCATTGGCAGCTGTGACTGAAAGAGAAGAGCCATGCTGGGTGAGTTCCATCTCCACCGTGAGAACCAAGCGTGGCCTCCCTGTCCAGGAAGCACCTTGCAGCCCTCAAGTCCCCAGGCCTGCCGCCTCCAAAGCACATCTGAATCTGAGCCCTTTGCCATCCCTAGCCCATCTGCTGTGACTCTTTGAGATCAGGGCCAGTTTCTTCTGTTCATGTAGGAACTCTGGAATTGGTAAGACCTGCACTCAAAGAAGCCAAGTGCCCATAGCTGCAATGTGAGGCTCCGGGCAAGTTACAATCTGCTGTAAGCTCAGCTTCCTTGTTTGTGAAATGTGAATTAATGGTGCCTACCTCGCAGGGCTGTTGTGAGGAGGATGTGATGGCAACTATGTGAATCACCAGCAAGTCCTATTCTCTCACCTCTGTCCTCCCCCCCGGCCTGCCCAGGGGCTTTGTGTGAGTGTGAGGAAGAAGGACAGAAGTGTGAGCAGGTGGGCGGCAGCAGGGCCTTGGGGTTGGGCTTTGGTGGTGGCTAGGCTTGGGCCTGTTTAGCTCTCGAGGTGACAAACTCCCAGCCACAGCTGGTGCAGGTCTCAGACTGTCTACAGCCCTTCCTTTTAACTACTAGGTGTTGAGATGGTCAACTGTATGAAGGTCACAGAGAGGGGAAATAAGTTGCCTCCGGAGAGCAGGACAAGCACCAGGGGATGCAAATTCTTCGAGGGGATACTGCCCAGGGCTGCCAAGGACATCAGCTCTGCAGTCATGTCATGGAGAGTTCAACATACTCTTTCCTATGTTCTCCAGATAACTTTTTTTTTTTTTTTACAAAATTCTCAAGCAGCAAACAGTCCAGATAACCTGGCTATCTTCTAGTTGGGTAGAATGAGACCCTGGGAAACTATTTAAGGAGCTGTAGGAGGGAAGACGGGCCTTTATATCTATCCTTTGCTGTTTGCGTGTGAAATCCTCAGAAACACATAATTCTCTAATTAGGATAGTAGAAGGCGCTAGACTTCTTACACCACTGGGATTTCCCTCAGCCCTCTCCAGAGCTAAGTCCTGGAGACCATATTTTTCAGTTGGGCAGGGCAACTTGAACAGTCACAGCTGATAAGGCCAGCCAGGACAGCCACCTTCCACCTCCAGGTCCTGGCTGGTAGCTCTCTGCTGCCCCCGCCTGTCATGAGCTGCTACCATCAGCTGCCCGGCCCACAGGGCATCCCCTCTCCCTCCGTGCCTCTGTGCCAGATTCTGCAAGTTCTTGCTGCTGTTGCTGCTGCTCAAGTGAGCGTCTCCACTCTCAGCCCTGCCCACCCCTTCCCCCTGTAGTCTTTGGCCCATCATGGTTACCCTGGGAAAATGCCAGCCAGGCCACAGATGAGGCATCCCTATACCTTTGTATCTATAGACAAGAAGAACACGCACTGGGACGTAGGCAGCTAGGCAGGGAGTTAGGCAGACAGTTATCAGATGGTCAGACGAACTGACAGGCAGACAAACAGACTGGCGGGCAGGCAGTGAGTATCAGTGAACGAGCAGGCGGCTGCGGTGGAGACTCACACTGAGTGGACAGCCTGCGGACCACTGGCTCCATGCTCCAGGCAGCCAAGCTGCTGGCGCCCTGCACGCCCTTCTCGTAGGCATTGCACACAGAAGCCACCAGGGGGTGGGCTTCCTTGGTGCTGGTGTAAGTCTTCTGGAAGCACTCACAGGTGCCACTCACCACAGGCAACTGCAGGACCCGCTGCAGCACGTTCTCCTGCTCCTAGCATGGAAGGAACACATTCCATTTGTCCCACCTCCCTCTCCAGCCTCCCAGAAGGTGACTCCAGGTCATGGAGCCCCATGATGAGGCTAGCCTGAGGCCAAGCGACCTGGGAGGAACCAAGGCCAAATAGGTCTCTGGGTACCCCAATCATGGGAGCATGGGGAAACCCAGAGGAAAAACGAGAGCCAGCCTGTGTGTCCTTTTGGGCACCATCCATCTAGAGAGCTGTTGAGGCAGTCTCTGCTCTCTGGGGGCTAAGCCAAATCCCATCTCCCCTCCAGACCCACCTTAAGCCTACTGGTAGAGACTGTGTCGTTAACATTCAGCGGTTCAGTCCACCTTCAACAGGTGGCTTCATCTAAACATTTTTCGGGTCCTTCTGAGATACTGTCTCCTTGCCTGTGTGTGCTAGCCCCACTGTCTAGAATGCTCACCTTTCCTTCCATAACCCTTTCTGCCTGACAGAATGCCATTTCCTCACGTTTCAGCTTGACTGTCACTTCCTCTACAAGGTTTCCAGACTCTCCTCTCTCACAGCAGAGGACACTGCTTCCTTCCCAGGCTGTCTCTGCAATCACCATGCTTTGATTATGCATGTACTCATTACTTGTCTCTCTCCCAGGAGACTGTCATCTCTGCAGCTCCAGTGTCTAGCCTAAAGAGTGGCACAGTAGCATTCGTTGAATAAATGCATCCCAGTCAGGGCTGCACCTAGTAGAATGTGTGCATTTAGATCTACCCAACTGCACAGAATCACAGAATCATAGGCCTCTAAGTGACCCTGCAGCAAGAATCTTCTCCATAGTTTCTCTGGTAGGCTTATACGCGGACTGACAATTAAGTTCGAGAACTCATCCCAGGAAAAGTGCTCCGTACCTCATTACTGAATATCACTATGGTCACCTTCGAAGTCCTCCCCTCGGGAAGCTTTGCACCGATGCCAGTGCCTAGTCCACCTGTCAGAGCAATTTCGGAACTCTTTCTGGAACGGCCATTAGAGCCATCATCGAATTACCCTTGATGTCCTGAATGTCATCAAATATCTTCCTTTCAATATTTCCTTTATCTTTGGGTAAAGAAAAAAGTCACTGGGAGCCAGAAATGATGAGTAGGAAGGGTGTTCCAATACAGTTATTTGTACATTGCTGTCAATGTAGGCGAATGGTAGCAAGTTCATGAACTTAATTGTCAGATCTCAACACATAAGGACAACAGCTCTGATAGTCATTCCAGAAAAGGAGTTCCAAAATTGTTTTGATGGGTGAACCAGGCACTGGCATCAGTGCATAACTTCCCAAGAGGAGTACTTTGAAGGTGACCACAGTGATATTTAGCAATGACGTATGTAGAACTTTTTCTAGGATGGTCTGCAAACCTAATTGTGGAAACTCATATGTGAATGTCTCCTTGGATGAGAACTTTTTTCCCTTCAGAGTGGCCTGTGTCCCTTGTTGGACAACTTTGCTGAACTGAAATCTACCTCCACACCCTGTTCCACTCTCTACGCTCTGGAATAATACTGAGCAAATTTATTTCATCATTCATAGTTTGGCCCTTTACTTTTTTTTTTTTTTTTTTTTTTTTTTTTAGTTTGAGTCTCACTCTGTTGCCCAGACTGGAGTGCAGTGGCCGCTCCCGGTCACCGCAGCCTCGACATACTGGGCTCCCACGATCCTTCCGCCTCAGCCTTTCAAGTAGTTGGAACTACAGGCGTGTGCTACCATGCCCAGCTAATTTTTTGATTTATTGTAGAGATGAGGTCTCACCAAGTTGCCCAGGCAGGTCTCGAATCCATGGGCTCAGGCAACCCACTCACCACTCACCTCGACCTCCCAAAGCCGATTACAGGCTGAGCCACCGAGCTCGGCTGCCCTTCACATATTTAAAGTCAATATATCTCCCTTTAGCAGTGCCGCCTCCATGCAAAACAGTTCCAGTTCCTTAATTTACAAATGGTTCACACCATGGTTTAGTGATCCCATCTCCTGGACATGCTACGGTTTTGTGTTTCCTTCCTTCCCTCCCTCCCTCCCTCCCTCCTTCCTGCCTTCCTTTTCTCCTTCCTTCCTTCCTTCCTTCCTTCCTTCCTTCCTTCCTTCCTTCCTTCCTTCCTTCCTTCCTTCCTTCCTTCCTTCCTTCGAGTCAGGATCTCACTCTGTTGCCCAGGCTGGAGTGCAGTGGCATGATTATTGCTCACTGCAGCCTTGACCTCCTGGACTCAGGTGATACTTCCTCCTCAGCCTCCTGAGAAGCTGGAACTACAGGCATGTACCACTATGCTAAGCTTTTGTAGAGACGTGGTCTTATTATGCTGCCCAGGCTGGTTTTAACTCCTGGGCTCAAGCAGTCCTCTTGCCTCAGCCCCACACAGTGCTGGGATTACAGGTATGAGCCACTACACTCAGTCTCATGTTAGCTTTTTTAAAAATATAGCACTGAAACCTGAAGACAGCACTCCAGGGATGGTCTGAGCATGTGGGGTGTAGCTGAACCACCATTTCTCACTAGTGGGGTGCTGTGCTCTTACAAGTGCATTTCACTTTGACAACAGTCACACAATTAAGCATTAGGAACCTTAGTGAAAAAACACTGGTCTTTGAATAAAAGAATGGATTCCAGTGATGCACAGAAAAAAATTTCTAATTGCCATTCTGTTTCAAGGCCTGGTCTGGGTGCCTTGGTGACATGACCTCACTTAATTCTAACTGCCACCCTCTGAGGTCAGCATTATCACCACCACTTTGCTGATAAGAAGACGGAGACTCAGAGATGTGAAGTGACTTACCTAAGATCACACAGCTAGTAAGAGGCAGAGCCAGGATTCCAACTCAAGCCTGAAATGGCCTATCTGGGATTGGCTTCAAAATAATGCAAGCTTGCTGGACACAGTGGCTCACACCTATAATTCCAGCACTTTGGGAGGCCAAAGTGAGAGGACTACCTGAGCCCAGGGGTTCAAGACCAGCCTGGGCAACTTGGTGAGACTTTATCTCTACAATAAATTAAAAAATTAGCCAGGCATGGTGGCGTGTGCCTGTAGTTCCAGCTACTTGGAAGGCTGAGGTTGGAGGATCACCCAAGCTCAGCAGGTCAAGACTGCGGTAGCTGTAAGCATGTCACTGCCCTCCAGCCTGGGTGACAAAGTGAGACTCCAACTAAATAATAATAATAATAGTAATATTAATAATAATGCAAGATGGAGGAATTAGTGGGAGTGAGGATGAGGCAGGATTGGCCATGAATTCATGGTTGCTGGGACTAGTAAAGGGTACTGGGGGCTTTATTATATTTTTCTGTCTATTCTTAGAAATGTTAAGAATTCTCTGCATAAAAAGGAAAAAGAGAAAACTGCCCAAGTCTGACTCAGATGCTCACGTCCTCTCTGTAGCTTGGAATATGTCACATGGTTCTGCTCTGGAGGTGAGGACTAGCCTGTTCTGTTTGCAGGAGACGGAGTTAGAAGACCCTTCAAAGAGACCCACATGTACACTAGACAGAGCAGGCCACAATATTTTAGTTTTTCATCCTGCAGGAAAGTATGAAATTTGAACTAACCAAAAGATTATGACTGCAAACAAGAAAGCATTCTCTTTAACATTTTGGACAGAGCCTTCAGGGGTTGTTTCAGACAAATCCAGAGGGGAAAGAAATCCTGGGAAGGGAATAAACCACCATCTACTAGGATGGCTGGACTATGCACTTGACTATTTTATGCCTCTATTCTATGACTTGATATAAAACTCAAAACAGCAATTCCTAGTGCAAAGATTAGTTAAAAATCTAACTTGGGACAAGGTGGATATTGTACAGGTTCATACTTTTTCAGTTTCACTAACTATCTAAACTGTACTCAAATCAAAGAGGTCTTGCCAGGAGGCATCAAGCATACCCCAAAGTATCAAAGCCACTTTAAGTCACAGTGAAAACCAGGTCAGACATACACCACCAACACACTGAATCTCCAACCCACTCACACACAGCAGCACAGGCCATGCTCTAATTCTGGGAGGTAGCATTCAGCATGAATGACACCAGAGTGACAGAATGCAGCGGTTCTGCACTGAACAGACATCCAGTTGGGTATGACCAGAGCATGGGCTCTTGCACCAGGGTTAGGAAAACAGTAATTCCCTTCCTCCCCATTCCCTCCTAACCCCCAGCAGGATTTCTGGCCATCTTGTCCAAAGTGTTTAGTTTGGGGAGGGGGAGGTTGAGTCAGAATCTCACTCTGTCACCCAGGCTGGAGTGCAGTGGCACACTCATGGCAGCCTTGACCTGCTGGGCTCAGGTGATCCTTGTGCCTCAGACTTCCAAGTAGCTGGAACAACAAAAGTACACCACCACATCTTGCTAATTTATGTATGTATGTATATATGTATTGTAGAGACAAGGTCTTGCCTAGGCTGATCCTGAACCCCTGGGCTCAAGTAGTCCTCCATGTCCCAGAGTGCTGAGATTACAGGTATGAGCCATTGCACCCAGTCAGATGTTTAGTTTTTTGTAGGCATTTTTTTCTTATTAAAGGCAGGTCCTCCAACATCCCCCTGAAAAAAAGGTGGTGAGGGCAAGAATAACTAAGACATGATGGTCAGTGGACTAGGATTATCATCTGGACATATCTTCCTCCAGGTCCTCTGTTTCTCCCCTCCCTCAGGTGTCCATCCCCTGTCTCATGTGAGCTCAAGGTACTTACAGGGTGGTCTCCATCCAGCAAGGTTGGGCCCTTGTTCACTGCCATCCTAGAACGTGAAGCTGCAAAGCAGAGTACCCGGTCCATCAGAAGTCCTCGGACTTGGGATCCAAGGATCAGTTCCCTACCTTTCATGGCCTGGCCAGGCCCAGGCTTCCCAGGAGCTCAATCACCCTGAACAGAAGGCATTAGGTTGGTGGGTGACTGTCACACACAAGAAGCCATTCCATAGGGTCCCATAGCAATGAGTTGCTCCACAGCCTACTTGTCAAGATTGATGTTTCTTATAAGGGTTCAGGGTAAGAAATGAGAAATTCAGGTAGCCACAAGAAATAAAGGTGGCCGGACTTGGTGGCTCAGTCTGTAATCCCAGCACTTTGGGAAGCCGAGGTGAGTGGATTGCCTGAGCCCGTGGGTTCAAGAACCAGCCTGGGCAACTTGGCGAGACCTTGTCTCTACAATAAATAAAAAATTAGCCAGGTGTGGTAGCGCGTGCCTGTAGTTCTGGCTATTTGGAAGGCTGAAGCATAAGGATTGCCGAAGCCCAGCAGGTCGATGCTGGGATGGCCATGAGCAGCATGCCGCTGCACTCCAGCCTGGGTGACAGAGTGAGACTCCAATTAAAAAAAAAAAAAGAAATAAA